TATGATTTCATCATTGGGGTGATGAGTATTTATAATTTACAGGCTCTCTAAGACACCTCTGTCAACGTTATTGTCGGCATTGAGAGCTTCTCCGCGATCCTGCTCAACAAACAGCTGTGAAACACCATCTTCTTAGAAGCTCGCCATACTCAAATTTTATCGGCAAATTTCACTCTTCCCTTATACCTAACTTCTTTTGGTTCATCTTGTACAATACGTGTATAAAATCCGTCGTTGTCCTTCATTTCGGAATTGGATAAAGTATAGTACTTTTCGTCATTAATAATGAGAATTTTACCACGAAATGAATACGTCTCAATATACGGCGAAATCTAGAATTTTTTTCTAATTGGACTGGTATGTACTTTTTTTATTGTCTTTAGGGTAAATACCCACACAGCTAGACACAAGGTGTCAAAAACAGATACAATACAAGCATTACACAGGGATTACACTCTTCTCACCAAGGGGCCAATCAGGGCATTTTTATAAACTATAAAAGGTAGGCCTCGGACAGATACGTATACATACATTAAGGAAAGACACCAGGTGTCAACAAAGGTGGTTAGGTCTATTTGTATATTCGTTGTTCTGACCAAAGACAGCAAACAATCGTAAATTTATTTTCTGTCTAAAGCAAGAAGATGCAGTATATTATATTGGCTTTCAATGTTCATTTTAAAAGTTTTTTGAAAAGCTTATTAGATTGAGCTCTATATTTTAAAAAATCACAAAAGATGTGGTTCAGGTTACCGATTTTATTATAGCTTCACAAAAATCACTCTCAAGTGTTTTTATTTTAAATAAATGTGCTGGATAACATGCGTGACCAAACATTTTGCTGATAGTAGTTATACTTTTTCGAAAGTAATCGTATTCCTTGTATCAAGGTTTTATCCTTAATTTGGTTTCAAGTCTAGTGTAACATGTTTGATTTGTAAACCTACGTAAATAGAACCATTTCTGTTTTGCTATGATTATTTGTTCATCTGTGGTAAATTCGTAATTTATTTGTTAACCATTACTAAGCTTTCTTTGGCAATTTGATCTGCAATTGCATTGTTTGTTATTCCTGCGCGTGTTTTGGCAAAGAAAAATTTTATATATTTATTCTGATCTTGTAAATGTTTAAGTATTGCTTGGAATCTTGGTGTGTACTAAGGAGCTTTTTTTATATCGATTTAAATTATTTCTAGAAATTGTTCTACTTACAGTCATTCCTGAAACATTATATCTTCGCCCGATATTTCGCAAAGACTTTCCTAATTGGTTCTCGATACTCTAAATCAATCTCTGTTCCCGAGCAGTAGTTAAAACTCTTGCTCTTCCACTTTTGGGCAAATTAAGGCATCTATACCATTTTCGCACTCTTTAATTGTATGGTGAATCGTTGACACAGACATATTTTGAGTACTAAAAATTCTTAGAATATCACGTTTTGGTATATGTCCAATTAAACGATAAATACTTTGACGAAGATTAAGTGTGTACGATATATTAACAAACCGTATTTGTCAAAACCATAGCACACTACCACCTAGCATTGAAACTTCCGTGTTGACGAGTAAAACAATGATTGGCGCATCACCTAGTGACCGGGCGCCTAACTATATATACATGGCGCGAACTTCAAAAGTTTAGTAATATTACCTAGGATTGTGAACTTATTTTAAAGTAAAGGAAAATCGATATAATCCTAAAATAACAAGAAAAATCCTTATCCTATACGATAATAAATATTTTTCGTATACTTTTTGGGTTTTCTTGTTATGTTGAGACTATATTTATTTTACATTACATTAAAATGCCAAAGTGGTTAAAAAAATTAAAGAATAAAATATAGAATAAAATCTTTATGTATAAAAATGTTACAAGAAATGTTATATGTGTTACAAGAAATATTAATAATAAAAGCCAAGTGTACTATAATTTAGTTTTCTTAATGTTGTGGCAAGAACTGGTCAGTATTTAAATAATTGTTTTGTCTTAGTATGTCAAGTTTTATGTGAATAAAAGCTTAATTCTGCAAAAGGCATTTTACTACAATTTTATTCTCATAATTCGCAAAGAATTCAAACATTGGTATATAACATTCAAGATTTTTTTAGAAAGCAATGAATCTAAAGATAAATCCCTAGAAGACAAAGATAAGTACATGCTTTTAATAAATTTAGTCTATAATTACATAAGCGAAGCAATCAATGGGGAAAACCAATTGCTTTTTTCACACATACTCTCACAGATTCTGAATGAAAACATGCAATTGAAAAAATGCAAATGCATTGAAGTATTAAAAAAATGCAGACATCTGGTAGGAAAGCAATTCAAACCAATCACAGATTAAATCACTATAAAGATGGAAAAATAACATTCAAATTAAAAAAATATGTAAAGTATTACCTAGTTACAATAAAAATATGAAGTATTTTACAAAGTTTCCAAAATCTATGTTACCAGTAACTCTTTTCTACTAATATTTATATACCTATTTATTGAGAGACATATTAAATACATTTAGATTTAGGTTGTTCTACAAAATGGAACGGCGTCTAGAAAACTTCATAAGTTGGCAAATAGCACCTGAGCAGGCTGGATTTGTAAAGGGCAGAGGTACTAGAGAACAAATCCTTAATGTACGAAACATCATAGAAAAAGCCAGAGAATACCAGATCCCGATATTTATATGTTTCGTCGATTATACAAAGGCCTTTGATAATGTTAGATGGGACAAACTATGGAACATATTGACGACAATGGGTGTACCTAAACACTTGACTCACCTTATTAGCAAACTGTATCAAGATAACCTGGCATATATTCGAATGGACGGATATCTGTCTGACAAATGCACTTTGGAGAAGGGAGTACGCCAAGGATGCGTTTTATCTCCGTTATTATTTAACATCTATTCGGAGTTCATAATGCGCAGAGTTTTGGATGGTTGGGAGGGAGGAGTAAACCTAGGTGATGTTAAGATATCTAACTTGCGTTTCGCAGACGACACTACACTTCTAGCCTCTACTCCAGAAGAAATTACTAGATTATTAAAAAAACTCGAGGTAGAAAGTGCTAAATTTGGACTCATGGTTAACTACAACAAAACCAAAATCATGGTTATTGATCGCCAACAACAGTTTCCTGAAACCCAAACTATTGCGGGATGCGAGGTAGTCTCATCTATGATATATCTTGGAGCTCTAGTTAATAACACAGGCAGTTGTGAATCCGAAATTAGAAGACGCATTCAACTAGCAAGAGCAGCAATGAGTGAACTAAACGGGGTCTGGCGTGATCGTCACATTACTATGACAAACAAAAAGAGACTCGTTTCAACTCTGGTCTTTTCCATATTTTACTATGCATGCGAGACATGGACAGTCAAAGAATCAGATCGACGACGTATAGACGCCTTTGAAATGTGGACATGGAGACGCCTGCTTCGAATTCCATGGACGGCTCGCCGTACAAATATCTCGGTTCTGGATGAAATTAAACCGGATCAACGTCTCTCCAGTACCGTTTACTCTAGAATTTTAAAGTTCTTTGGCCATATCCATCGAAGTGATCACAAAATGGAGCGGTTGGTGGTCCAAGGAAGGCCTCAGACTCAACGCCAACGCGGAAGATCTCCACAGCGATGGGCGGACATTACTAAAAAGCTTCTCAATAAACAGTATACTGAGGCAATACATATAACTGATGACCGCGAACAGTGGAGAAATATTATCAATCAAACTGTCCGAGCTGCTGAAGCCCAATTATGAACCACAACACATCTACTAAGATGTTAATGACTGTGATGATGATGACAAAATGGAACATTAAAAGTACATAGATAAGACAAACCATGGTAATGTGGTACTCTAAGACCAATCTCACTCACAAGAGAGCACAGATCCCTCCTCGCACTTAACAGGCAAGCTCAAAGACCTCTCCATGTGATAGTGTAGTCATGGTCTGCTAATCTAATCCAACTTTGAAAGGCGCACACCTGTAGAAATTTATGTCGAACCCTCTCTAAGGTGATGATTTTTAAGATAGTTGTTGAACCACCACCTACAAAATAATTCAAATTGTAAGCAAGTAAGACTGATTTTATAATATATAATTTTAGGTTAAATTTATATTTAACTAATTTTATAAGTAAAAGGTCAATTACATACATGTATTGGCATAATAGTTCTTACCTGGTGCTGGTAAAAACAAACTCAGAAGGGCTGTTCTCGTATTATACCGGTATGTCCAACATTAATTATATGGTCCTCTTTAAAATGACTAGCGCATACACGAAAATTGTTATAAATAGTTTCTGTTGCAGTATTCTATAATTAGAGCTCTTAACAACATTCACCCATTTATCAAACATATCCATATAAAAAAAACTATATTGTTTGCCAGTAGTAAAAATCTTTTTTGTTCAATTCTTCGTCTCTACATTGTTATTCCATGTAATGTGTTCGAGTCCATAATAAAAAATCGTCTAAAATTGTACGTTTTTGCACCACTGATATAAAAAATTTTAAATTATAAAATAAATTATAAAAAATAAAACAAATACAAATATGGCGCCTTATTTGTCTTAAATTCAATTTTGATTTGACCACAGAACACTCCCTCCGCGTAGGAACGAGACTAGCAGCGCCGCCAAACGAATGGGCGTATGGGCGCTAAATCCGAACGTGATTTGACATTGCCTATCTCTGTTACCAATCTAGGTGTAATTTTATCTATGGTCAAAACTGACATTGTTTATATCGTTTAAGTTGTTTATTAACTTTGATTTTCAATGGCAACTTGATCCAATGCTGCCTACCAATAATACTTTATAATCTAAAATTTTCCGAAAACTTTAGGGACATACGTTGAATCAAAGCATTATTCAACTTAATTATAATATTAAAATAGACAAAGGTATCTCATGCAACGATACATTCCATGTATAACATTTCTACACTAAAACGACGTAATATCTTTTTTGTAAAATACTATTTTCGTTTTAGAAACTGATATTTTACTTATGCAGAAGAACGCAGAAAACATGGGCCTTCAAATAATAACATGCGAAAATTACAACAAAGAAATGGAAAAACGTGATGTCAAAAAAGAAGTGTTATCTAAAGAGGATCAAGTTGCTTCTGTTAATTCGATTCTTCCCAAATTTAATACTTTAAATGAAGAAATAAATAAAATGGAAAAACAGTGGTCCCCAAATACATCGAATTTTAATCAAAATAAACCATCTACAGTAGCTCCTGAGAATGAGGATCCTTCTACAACTCCAAATATTAACATTTATGAAGGTAAAATAACTAACTATCCTATAAGAGGGAAAACGAATTATACTGCAAGGTAGGTGTTAATTTTTGTCTCTGATTGGATTATCATACACTTTAATATAGGTATAATTGGTACTTTACTTGTATATCAAAGATAATTGTAAAAACTTTATCATGGTAAATCTGAGTTATAAACACAGTAGCGGTACTCTGTATTTAATCAATGATATAATCGACATTTTAAATAATTGAAACACATTTATTTCATCTTTTTGTGTAAAGTTTTCGTTTAGTTTTTGATGGCACAATGCTTAATACCATATTCACTTTTATTTTTAATTTTTATTTTATTTTATTTTACTTATTTTTCTTGTTTGTTCAATACAGTTTTATCGGTTAATACCAATTTATTACTGTAATATCTTTTGGGTGGTGAATTACCAACTGAGTCTCGATACCTTTCGCAGCCTTCCTTACATATAGCTTTCTAACTGGCTTTCTCTCTAGCATCTTCTTAGAGTGCAATATCCCTACGGAACGTCGGAGACTACACTGCTTATAATATTGTTATACTGATCTCGGTCTTGCGCTACGTGTAGCAATTGGTCCGCTGTCAAACCTGTCCACTGCCGCAAATTCCTCAACCAAGAGAGTTTCTTCCGTCCTATCCATTTCTTTCCTTCGATTTTACCGTTGAGAATTAGCCGAAGGAACTCATATCTTGGTCTTCTGATTATATGTCCAAGATATTCTAGTTTATGCCTCTTAATAATATTTAATAGAGTTCGTTGATGTCCCATTCTTCGAAGATTTTCTTCGTTTCTGGTTCTGCTAGTCCATGTAATTTTTAGTATCCTTCGATACAACCACATCTCAAACGCCTCGATTTTATTTTTGATATCGGCGTTTAAAGTACAAGTTTCACATCCATACAAAAGTACAGACCACATGTAACATCTTGTAAACTTTTCACGGATTTCCAAATTTAATGAGTTATTGGATAATACAGGCTTGAATTTTTAAAATAAGTTTCTTGCCTGTTCAATTCTACATCGAATTTCGAAGGATGGATCTAGATTTTGGGTAATCCAACATCCAAGGTATTTGAATCTCTGAACTTTCTGCAGCGGTTGTTGGTTTAATATCAGTTGGGTTGCGCCGATATCCACTTTACTGGTCACCATGTATTTAGTTTTATCGATATTTATCGGCAGTCCCCAATTTGTGCATTCCATGTCAACTCTATTGATTAGCTCCTGCAGATCGTCGATGTGTTCAGCTAGAATCACAGTATCGTCGGCGTACCGTATATTGTTAATTATTTCTCCTATGATAATTCCTTTTTGATCTTTTAAAGCTTCCCTAAATATATTCTCAGAATACACGTTAAAGAGGGTGGGAGATAGTATACAGCCTTGTCTTACGCCTCGTTCAATACTGATTGGCTTTGATTCTCTGTTGTTGGTATTAATAATGGCTGTTTGGTTCCAGTAAAGTTTGGCAATAAGTTTGATGTCTTTCTCATCTAGTTGGATGCTCTGCAAGGCGGTAATTAGTCTGGTATGCTGAACGCGATCAAATGCCTTTTCAAAATCAATGAAGCACATATATACGATTTTTCTTACCTCCCAACATCGTTGAAGGAGTGTTTGCATCTCTAGCGTAGTTATCGGTAATCTACCTTCCTCAATTTTTCTAATATGATTATTGTAACGATAATATTTTGCCTACCACAGGGGGCATTAATACGGTAGATAGAAAATTGGGGGAAAAACTATTGGAGGTGGAGATAGGGTAAGCAAAATAATCGCTACTGATGCGAACGGCACTCAGGGTTTCGTAGGAGAGCTGGGGTCGTGGATAAGTAAAAAATGAAGGGGTTAGAATGGGGCAACTACAAGAAAATGAAATAAAGGGGTCATCAATCTCTTGGGATAAACAAAATAAAAATAAACAAGAAACACCTCAAGGAATTTAATATAGGGCACCACTTGAGGTGCCTAATCATGCCTATTACAACCACTAGTTGTAACTAGGAAATAATTATACAACAACAAATTATGGATATTATATACCTTCGTAGAACAGAATAATTTTTAAACCAATAACTACTTGTGATTGAAGGCTGTATAGAAGCATATTGCGAGGAAGAATGCGTAATATATATATATATATATATATATATATATATATATATATATATATATATATATATATATATATATATATATATATATATCATAAACAAGTTTTTTAATTTTAAAGACATATATATTTGAGTTATAACTAGGAAAATTTGAAGATTCAATGGCTAACATAACAGACAATGAGTCAGATACTATTGTAAAAGATGTCTTCTGAGTGTTTTCCAAGTATCTTAATGCTTCATATATTGCTACAACTTCAGCATTAAAGATTGAAAAACTGGGATTTAGTCGACAAAGTTGTTCTATATTAGTGGATGGAATGTAGAAAGCACACCCAGTACAAACAATAGACTTTGAAGTATCCATACAAATAATTAAAGAGTCTGACAGACTAGATAAACAGGACCTCAAAATATTCGAGCTAACAGAAGAATTTACATGGTAATTCGGTTGTATCAGAGTAATGGGTTGCAAGCACGAATAATAATGTTCTATATTAAGATTATCTTCTGATTTAAAGTCATAATCAAAATTTGTCAGGCTTCTAAAGGCCTCACAAAGTGGAGGTGAGTTCTTAAGTCTCCAATATCGATTAGTTAAATCTTCTTCGTTCAGTTTTCTTATATTTGAATAGAGAATAGTGTTACGATTTTGTATATTAATAACAAACTGTTGACTAAGGTATTCTCTTCTCTAGATCGTCGATTTAATGGCACCCAAACAAATACGCAATGCTGCGTTTTGAAACACATCTATTGTTTTCAGAATATGTTTACTTGCTGAACCATATAATATGCATCCATAATTGATAATTGATCTAATATAAGATCGGAAGAAAAGCAAAGAAGTTTCCACATCTGCACCCCACCATATTTTTGTAATTGATTTGAGGAAATTTAGAGCCTTCTTACATATATCCAACATAAACTCAACGTGAAGTTTCCAAGTTAACTTGCGATCGAGAATCATTCCCAAATATTTAATTGAAAAACTGAAATTAAACATACCCATTTAATTTTATCTGATTTAGTTTTGGGATATTGTGTCGAGTGAAAATACTAATACTTGATTTACTTGATGCAATTTCAAACCCATTTTGTTTGAACCAAGTTTTGGATCTATCATGTATTTTTTCTAAAGTTTTAATGCAGTTATCGTATTTTTTGGTAGAAGAATACATAAGAAAGTCATCGGCATACTGTATTATTTTAAAGCTGATATTTTAATGAAAATGTTATGTAAATCTGAAGTTTAGATATTAAACAATAGAGGGCCCAAAACTGATCCCTGCGGTAGTCCCTGTTTATTATAACGAGGACGTATAAGTTTATTATTGTTTGTTCTCAGGTAAATTTTTCTGTAGAAATAAAAGTTAAAAATAGTGTTTACCAATTGTGGTGGTATATGAAAATTTTTTATTGATTTTTCCATTAAAATATCGAGACAAACACTATCATCCTCCTTCTATGTCTAATACTATTATCGGTAAATAAATATTACTTGAGAAGGAGTTCTGAATGTCCGTTACCAATGTGGCAAGTGCATCTATAGTACCTACCACAGCCTTTTTTGTACCCAAACTGCAAATCTGCTATCCACCATTCCAATCTATGTTTAATCATCCGTTCCAAAGTTTTCAATACACAAGACATAAGTGAGATAGGTCTATATGAGTGAACGGAATTAGGGTCTTTCCCATGTTTGAGTATGGGATAATGATTACATCTTGAAATTGAGCTGTTACTGAATTATTCATAATTATATTATTAAATATTTGCAATAGTAAAGTTTTGGCACTTTTGGGAAGATATAGTAACATTGGATATTTAATATTATCTAAACCTGGACTAGTACAATTTCGATTTTTTAAGGCAAATTCCAATTCTAAAGTATTAAAAGATGCTAACAAAAAATGATACTGCTTATTGAAAGAATAGTCAAAAATTTTGCAATTTTTTACAGACGGATGAGCAATTTGATCAAAAAATTGTTCTTTCAAGGAATCGTTAAAACATTTTATAGAAGAAATTGGTTTTTCTGTTTAATTTTGATTATTGATCATTCCATAAGCTTGGTGACGGTATATTTTTATTCAACTTTGAGCACCAATCAATCCAGCTCTTTTTGGCTTTATTTTTTAGAAATATTTTGGCTTCTAATACAAGTTTTTGGCATTGTATGTAATTGACCATTGTAGGAGATTTCTTATATAATTTAATAGCTTGTCTTCTGTTATTTACAACATTACTACATTCATTATCCCACCAAGAAGGCGGAAGATGATTTTTGCTAGTGAAAGGTTTAAAAGCAGGTATTGCCTTTTTTGCAGACTCATTTATGCTATTAATAAGAAGCAATACTTTTCGCCAGTGTTTTCAAATTCCATATTATTCTCAAAGAGAGAGTCTACAACATCTGCATACAGTTTCCAGTTTGCTTTTTTAATATTCCATTTACTTTTAGGTAAAATTTTTTCATTTGAATGGGAGGAATCATTAACACCAGGCCGATTTAAACATGTAAGTCCACCAGTATTCAATATTGCTAACTCTAGATCATCTGCATCCATTTCTAGTTGCTTTTCAATATTATCATTTTTTTAGATCCCCATAATACATTATGTGCATTAATGTCTCCACCTATTATAAGGGGAGCTTTTACTTGAGAAAAAATTTTAACCCAATCATTTGTTTTAGTTTTCGTTTTTGGTGCTCAATAAATTGATAAAAAATTAATCAAATTTTTTCCATAATTTACTGCGCATCCACAAAGTAGAATTTCATCATTAAAATTTCTAAGCATATTTATTTCTTTAAAATTGAGAGTATTTTTGACTAGAATGGCTACTTCACTATAGCCATCATCACGATCTTTCCGGATGCTGTTATGTCGGATGCAGAAACCACAGTGCATGCTGAGGAAGTGC